GTAAAGATAGTGCTCTTCGTTCCATACAAGTAATGTCTCCAGATCTTCAGAGCAAACACCACTGCTCCCAGTTCAAGATCGTGGGTCGTATAGTTAACTTCGTGTGTCTTCAACTGTCTGGAGGCGTAGGCGATGACCTTACCTCGCTGCATCAGAACACACCGAGCCCTTGGTTCGATGCATCGCAATAGACTACGAAGTCTTCTATCCCTTCGGGGAGAGATAGTATTGGCGCGGTGCACAAGGCTCGTTTGAGCGTTTGGAACGCTCTCTCTTGTTTCTCTTCCCAGTCAAAGGCCACGCCTTTCTGGGTCAGGGTTGTAAGAGGTTTCGCTATTCGGGAGAAGTTCTGAATGAATCTGCGGTAGTAGCCAGCAAGACCTAGAAATTGACGAATTTCTGTCGGCGTCTTGGGTGCTGACCAGTTCTCAATGGCTTTAATTTTGGATGGGTCCACGTGGATTCCCTCTTCGCTTACCACGTGTCCTAAGAATTCGACTCTTCGGATCCAAAATTCACATTTCGAGAACTTCGCATAAAGTTTCTCCGTTCGTAAAGTTCCTAAAACTAGTCGTAGGTGATCGCCATGCTCTTCCTTACTTCGGGAGTAGATCAGGATGTCGTCAATGAAAACGATGACGAACTGATCCAAGTAAGGTCGGCATACTCTGTTCATCAGGTCCATGAAAACTGCTGGCGCATTGGTCAATCCGAATGGCATCACCACGAACTCGTAGTGTCCGTAACGAGTTCGGAAGGCTGTCTTGGAACATCCTCCTCTAGCACTCGTAACTGGTGATATCCGGATCTTAGATCAATTTTGGAAAAATAGTTCGCCCCTTGCAGTTGGTCAAATAGATCGTCTATGCGAGGCAGAGGGTAACGATTTTTGACCGTCAGTTTGTTGAGTTCTCTGTAGTCGATACACATACGGAATGATCCGTCTTTCTTCTTAACGAACAAGACCGGTGCTCCCCAAGGTGAGAAGCTTGGTCTTATGAAGCCCTTGCTGAGTAGTTCGTTAAGTTGACCAGATAATTCCTGCATCTCTGCTGGTGCTAAGCGGTAGGGCGACTTGGCTACTGGGGTAGCTCCTGGGACTAAGTCGATTCTGAACTCGACCTGTCGTTGCGGAGGT